TGTTTTCAAAGTACATTCTACCAACAGGAAATGTGAGTACTGGAGCTTCACGAGTGAACAAACTATCTGTTCAAAATATCAATGGAATCAGAAAATTATTGAAAGAAAACCAACCAGTGGAAACTGTCTCTCTTGATAAAGCGCTTCAGGAGTTTCACACCTTTCTTAGTCAAGTAAAATGTTCATCCCAGAAGGAAACTTGTATAGTTCTAATAGGTCATAATTCATCAACATTTGACACTCCAATACTTCTCCGGAGAAGCGACGAAAATTTTCGCAGCAAACTAAGCAACCTGAATGTTTATTTTGGCGACAGTCAAATCCTTGTCAAACATCTTTTGAAAGATAAACACCCGGCATTGCAACTCAGTGAATCGGCATCTTGCAAATCAAACCAATCAGCACTTTACTCACATCTCTTTAATGAAGAATTTGAAGCCCACGATGCCTTGGAGGACGTTAAGGCACTTGAAAAAATTCTGTTTCATTCTACACTTCAACTGAACAAGGAAAAACTCGTGAATTGTTCTGGAGTTATTGGTGTTGAACAAGCAATTGCCAGCATGACGTATTTGGATCGACGCCATGAAATTCTTCAGACATTCAGCGGAAGACTTTTCGACCCCAGGGACGACAGTGGTGCAATAAAACAATCAATGGCTCAGAAGATTGCAGGAAGTGGGCTTTCCTATTCACATCTCAAAGAGTTATATTTAAAGTTCGGAACAAAGGGGCTGCTTGCGATCCTCAGCATGCCTCCTTCCCAAAACACAGCGAGGAAACCTCGTGTCACTCGAACAAAGCGTATTCTCGATGCCATTGCAAACCACTTTCAGGAAACATTTCCGAAAGAAGAATAGTTCCTTTGGTTCCATTGTTGGTAAATTGTAACTTCATGTGTTTCCCTTTAACCACATTTAAACTGCAGAAACTGGCCAGCATGTGTTGTGCCTCTGGAGGTGCTTGATGACAATGTACGTACCTCGCGTAACATTAGCCAGATTTAAATGACCAAAATTCTCCAAAACGTAGCAACGAAGCAAGGTTGTTAACAGCACTTGAAAAATAAATTACAGGTCCACTTGAACGACTGATTAAGCTGATTAAATTGACTGAAAATCGAGCGAGTGACTTTTCGAAACAAATCAAGGTTTTGACCAGCGGACAACGTTTGCGCATGCCAAATGCAGGATCTTGTAAAGGCCAGATTTTGGAAACCCGCAAGACGCTGGTGGATTTTCTTTAGACGCGAAGTGAATTATTTAAAAAACAAGTCTGGTGACCCCACTATTTTATTTTAAAATTGGGTAGTGTGGACTAAGAGAAAAGTACTGGTAAAATTTGAAACAATTCTCTGGACCGGATTTATAGCCACTCAAAAATTACGGTTTTTAGCAATTACATAAAATCTGGTCCAGAGATTTTTTTTTAAACTCTCTATAATTGCTTCCACTTCCATGTAAAATTGGATAATATTAAGAAAAATAGGGGTCACCGAGTTAATTTTTGCGCTATTAGCATTAGAAGCTCCATGATGGCTCTCATAAACAACCATATGCTGTTGCTATGGTAACAGCTGATGATGCCACGTGATTATGTTTTGGTTCACTGATAATTGAGCTAGTAACTGTTACCAAGAAAGTGTAAGAAAAATTATTATTTTGTTTAATTGAATCCCTCAAATGTAAAAGTGCTAGAAAACCTAAAAACTATTGTGAGCCACCTTAAATCAGCCGTTCCGAATTGATTCAGACACTGTACTTCACATGAACTTAATTCATTGAATTCGATTTGGCTCAGCTGAAGTACGGTGTCTTAACCGGGCCTAAGTTCATTCAAAATGTGAGGCAAATTTCAAACTGCAAAAAAATGCGAACAACAACAATTGTTGAATTTGAATACTGACCAGCCTTTGAACCAAAAGAAAGTGGAAGTTGAGAACTAGCTCCTACATCAAAACTTGGCTTGAAAGCAGAGATCTAAAATAAAATTAGATATATCCTCAGATATTTGTCAACAAACCAATAATTAAAGAAACTGAGGCATTCACTCTGTTACTGACTTTCCTTTGATAAAAAATATGTAAAATATGCCAAGATACAAACTATTACCCCATTCACACCAAAGCCTAAACATGCTTTAAAGCTGTTTTGTTAAACATGGTTTAACACAACAGCTCCATAGAAGCTGCTCAAATCAATATTTGGTTGACTTCAAATGTGGCACATTGAAAATACAATTTAGCAATTGCTTGAATCTTGTGGAAAATTTAGTTTTTCAGTTCTCTGCTTCTGATTTTTATTCAGTTAAACCTGGTTTAACTAAACAAGTTTTCTGGTGTGAATGGGGTATATCTAAGAAAAAAGAATAAA